GGTCGTTGCAACTAGATCTTCGCCAATCTCTCGGACACCTTGTTCTCGTTACCGGCATCTGGCTGTATTGCCTGCCTTGAGAGCGCCAATGACCAGCCATACTCGGATGCGGCGACAAGCCAGCCACTACCATGTCTGAAGCTTCCATTTTGCAGTTCGATGTAGCAACAGCAATACGTGAAGCGGGAGATGCATGTTGACCGCGGGGTTGTGGGGGCGGTATGCACGGTGATAGGTTGCTGGCCACTGCCAGTCCTGGGTGGGGAGGGCGCGCCGCTGGCACTGTCCTGCTGCGGTGCATGCCCCAGCGCTGAGGTTGACGTCTCCCGCGCGCTGCTCGCGCATGGGCAGACGTCGGAGACGCGACTCGAGCTGTTGAACACCCATCGCTGCTAGGGCCCCATACGACGAGGCAGGCAGCGCTTCTGGCCCCCCGCGGTCCAGACGCGAGCGCCGCCTGCATCAAATACGTACAGTGCCGTTTCTAATGCATGCTCCGCCTGCGGGCCATGTACTAAAAGTGCAGGGATTTAGAATTAAAAACAGCGATGCGTTCATGCATACGTTTGTTCATAAACTGATCATGTGTCAAAGAACTCCTATGTCTTTTTGTTCCAAAAACTATGTATACAAAAAAACTGCCCTGCACGTCGGATGGGCACTGGTGCGCTGCGCTGGGCGGCGCTGCGCGCCTGGCGGAGGCTGGCGCCCGCAAGACTCCAGCGCGCGCCCCTCTTGCCAGGCATGGCCCTCCTGCGCCCCCCTTTTGGCCAGGGCGCGCACGCCCGCCACGGACGATAAACCCGGAAACCGAGAAACCGAGGAGGAGGAGGAGGAGCGAACGTCCACTTGCGGACGAAGTGCTTCATGCGCAGCCGCGCACGGGGGCGCCGCCGAACGGGCTAGTGCCGAGCCTCAGAGCGAAGCGATCGGCCTTCACCACGTTGATGTGGGTGTGGTAGTTGCTGGAGTCCCCGGCCGTGCCGAGGGAGAATATGTCCTGGATGTTGTGGTACGCGCGGTAGGCGACGGCCATGCGCGCCAGCACGTGATCGATGAAGATAACCGAGGAGGAGGAGGAGGAGGAGGAGGAGGAGGAGGACGACGACGACCAGGTGGCCAGCGAATATGGACTGGGCGCTGCTTGAATGGAAGGGCGACGCGTAGGGTGGGGGGGGGCGATGATTCCCGACTTCCCTAACCTGTATAGGATGGGCCCCATGACCGGGGGCCCTCCTCTCCAGGGGACGGCCCTGGCGTCTGCGGGTCTGGCGGATTGAGCGATGTGGCTGCCCACACGAGGGCGGACGCCCCATCCCAATGCTGTCCTGCGATCAGCGGCGTACCTGGGGACCCGGATGCCTCAGTGCGCAGGGTTGCCCCTCCCCCAAGGGACGACCCCGACGCCAAAGTGCACAGTCGATCTGGCAGCGCACAAGGTGCTCCAGGAGCTGACGGAGGACGGGGAGGTCTGCGGGCCCCCTGGCGGGTCTAATGAACGGCAGGTCACCACTGCAGCGGCCTCCCCAGCACCCTGGCCCTTGCTATGACCGGCTCAGATCCCCGACGACGATGACGCCGCTGAGACCGTGGCACCTGGAGGGAACTGCGGCAGCCAGACGGCCGTCACGACTGAACTGTCCGCCAGCATGCCGGCGGCCAGGGACGATCGCCTGGACATGGACGGTGGGAGCGTGCTGGGGTTCGGGGTGGGCTGGGCGATCGCCTGGCTCGGCCGGATCTCCGCCTGTCGCGCAAACGTGGTTCCGTATGCGCCTCCCGCCTTCTCCCTCCCCGCCTTCTCCCCCCCCTTGCCTTTTCGACCTGGCTGGAGCGTCCACCCCCCCAGGTGGATTCCCTCTCTGCCCCGCTGCTCCGGCTGGCAGCTGGGCGCCCCCGCCTGGCCAGCCTTGTAGCCGGGCGCCCCCACCACACCACACCCGGTTGGCTGAGTGCACTGGCCGGGTGGACGGCCCCACCCCTCCTCCCCACCTGCCGCCCCGACGCCGCCTGGACCTCCCTGTGTCGGCGGGCGGCGCCTGCCCCGCTGCTCTTGCCGCGGGGCGCCTCCACCCGGCCGTCCCTGCGGCTGGGCGCCCCTGGTGCTTCGAAGGCCAGCGGCCCCCGGCACTAGCGCAGCTCTGCGTTGCAGCGTTCGGCAGCTTTGCAGCCAGCAGACCCGCGTTCCTGCATATTGCTGCGGCGAGCTGGTCCCTGGCCAGGCCCCCGTGGTCGCTTGGGCCTCCCCTCGCGCCGTGCCTTGGCAGCAAAGCCTGTCGCGAACGGCCTCCTGACGAACGCCCAGATGCCGCCCGCTTCTGTGGGCTCGCTCGCCGCTTCTCCCCCTCCCCCTCCTCCTCCACTGGTTCGACTCGGTCTAAGAGCGCTTCTGCGCCTGCAGCCTCTGCCTCAGCCCCTGGTTGTGGCCGTGATACCGCTCCGCGTCCACTGCCAGGCTGCCTCAGCACAGGCTGGCCGCACCAGCCACTGCTGACGAAGGCCTCCCCGCAGTGAGCGCCATCCCGTTCTCACCCGCCTTCCGCGGCCGCCCTCCGCCTTCTGCGCCCCTCTTGCAGCCGGACAGTTGCTTCGCCAGCTCCTGGCCGAGTAGGGCGCGCGTGCGGATCGCCGCTGCCGCGCCGAGGACGCAGAAAACCCTTTTGGGCTCCAGGGGGCCCTCGTAGTGCCCCGACGGTGTGCGCCTGGTGCGCGTCCCTTCGCCTCCCCACAGATCGCCCCCCCCCCCGCCCTAGGACGCAGACGCGGGAAGGCCAGGGAGGCTCGCCAGCCCCCCAGAGTCCCCTCCCTCGCCCACCCAGAGTCCAGAGCCTCGCCATCGCTCGGACGTCCATTCCTCGTGTATTTTTCGATTTCGTCTGTTTTTTTTTTCGCCAAATGATCAAGGATGGTCCTCGATGGCCGTCGCCGAGAAAAAATGCACACGTCCGAGCGAAGCCAAGACCCAGAGCTCCCCTTGCGCTGCCGCCCATGGGCACTCCGCCGGCCCGGAGCGGGGCCAGCTCTTCCTTCCGAGTCGCCTTGTGACGGCCGCGGGACCCGAGGAGGGCCCCCGAGGCCGAAAAACTGAAGGGCCCCCAGGACACACAAATAAATATACACACATCACAGAATTCTCCATATTTTCCCATATTGTCTTGGTTTTTGTCTTCCCCCCACTCCCCATATTTTCCGATATTTTCTGGGGGATCGACGATTAATTGTGTCTGTGTGTTTTTTTCCCTCCTGAATATGACAAAACCAACCGCTCCGATTTTGACAACCTACCAGACCACCCCAACCCCAACCCGAAGAGCCGAATTTCGGGTTGGGGGGGGTATGGGTTCCACACGCGCTTTTTCAACGTTCCCGAGCACCCCCCCTCACTGGAAATGAACGGCAAATCGGAGCCTTCGGGCTGGGTTGGGGTGGCTTGGTAGGCGGTGAGTTTTCTTCGGAGCATCGGACCTCTGGGGAGTAGGCGCGGATGCATACGTCACAGTGCGAGGCCGCTCACGGCGACAGCCACACCGAACACCGATCGAACCGCCAGCGACACCGGAGAGCCGACCGGAAGCGACAGGCCGCAGGCAGCCCAAAGGGGCGGAGCGGCGCGGCAGGGACACGATTGGGCGCCCGAATTATCCGGGGTAACTCGGGCCCGGGGCAACTCGGGTTCGGATTCCCGAAAAACGAGCCCGAGTTAGCCCTGACCCGAGTTACCCCTGATGATTCGGGGCTCTGACACGATGTAACCGACCGGAGCGAGCCAGCCCAACGCAACCAGCTGTGTCGCAAGCGCACCGACCGAACGAGCGAGCACCCTCGCAGTGCCGGCGCCGAGGGGGGGGGCTGCGGCCGCGCGCGCGCGGCGCGCGCGCGGGGCTCGCGCAGGTGGGCCGCACGCGGCGCGCTGGCTCGCCATCGCTCGGACGTCCATTCCCTGTGTGTTTTTCGGTTTCGTGCGTGGTCTTTTTTTTTTCGCCAAATGACCAAGGATGCTCCTCGATGGTCCTCGCCGGGGGAAAAATGCACACGTCCGAGCGATGCGAAGGCTGCGCGCTGGCCGACCTGGCGGTTGTTGGCCATGACCACGGGGAAGTTCTCCTCCGTCATCTGCGACTGCCCGGCGGCCGTGCGCGGAGGGGTGGGGGCTCGACAGCACGCGTGCGGCAGGCTCTCGTGCGGCGGCGGCCCCGCCTTGGCACTCGCCATCGCTCGGACGTCCACTCCCTGAGTTTTTTTCGGTTTCGTGCGTGGTTTTTTCGCCAAATGATGAAGGATGCTCCTCGATGGTCCTCGCCGAGGGAAAAATGCACACGTCCGAGCGATGCCAAGGGCACTGTCGTCTGACACCGTGTGGATCGTTCAAGCTGGAAGGATCGGCGGTGCCTCGATCGCCAGATCACCCCATCATTGGCGGCCTAGAAGTTGGCACCAACACCAACACAGGGGGTTGCCTCCGCAAGGGGGAAGATGATCCTAGATTTCGGTGTTGGTGGTAATAGTTTGGCCACCTTGGAAGCCAGAATCTTACCACCATCACCGAGATCGGGATCGCCTTCCCTCGGTGGAGGCACACCGCCGATCTTGGTGTTGGTGTCAACCTCTGGGCCTGCGACATAAAGGTTGATTCTGGGCCACTGGCGGCGTTCAACCTTGAGCGCCCGCGCCGGGGTCGCCGCCGCGTTGACACGACAAGAACCTATCGTACGTGCTTAGAGGGCCCATGGGGTCGTCGTGATGCACAGGAGTGCGAGCCAGCGTCTGCGGCTGTTCGGATCAAGCGTTGGACCTGCAACCACAATAGCACTATTAATCGCACAACTAACGACGTTAGTTGCAATGGGACCTAGATGCGCTCAGATTAGAGCTGAACGCCCTTCCGCCACTAGAAGCGTGAGCAACGGAAGTGCGCCGCAGTAAACCAACAAAGTGGCCATTCACAGTACTTCGCAGAAGCTGAAACAGCCACACACCGACAGTTGACAGATGCCGTCTTTCACACCGATGCGGATACCGACGTCGAGCAGCAGTGGCGCAGGAGATGCCAACATGGCACGTCAGGCCGCAGCGGTCGACCACTCTTCTCAACACGCCTGTCGGCGGAGGCGGAGCAGCTCGAACTGTAATTCGGCCTCTTGGGGGCCTTGCACATCTGGCGGGGGAGGGGGGGAGGGGGGGGCGGCATGAGCGGCCTCGGCAGCGCTCGCTGGCCGCAAGGCCTCACCCGCCTGCTGGTTGGATGCGCCGAAGATCGGCGGTTCAAAGAGAGGGCTGGGGCCCTCAGGACGAGAGGCGCCTCCAACAGTGCAGATCCACCCCTGGATCCGTTCCTATTCTTGAAGGGGCCCTGGGACACACAAATAAATACACACAAACAACAGGATTCCCCCATATTTCCCCATATTTTCTAGGTTTTCGTCTTCCCCCCCACTTCCCATATTTTCCAATTTTTCCGGGGGGTCGACGATTAATTGTGTCTGTGTGTTTTTTCCCCTCCTGGTATTCTTCGGTCCCCTTCTCTCGGGGCCCCACCTCTGAACCGCCGAGAACGAGGGCGGGCCAGGGGGAGGGCGGGACAGGGCTGCGCAGCGTGGCCCGGCGGACGAGGAGGAGGAGGCCATGGGGCCAGGGACCGTCTGGAGAGAAGAAGAAGACGCCATGAGAGCTGGGATATATTTGGGCCCGGGGCAACTCGGGTTCGGATTCCCGAAAAACGAACCCGAATTAGCCCTGACCCGAGTTACCCCTGATGATTCGGGTCTCCGAGATGTCGTGGCCCTTGCCATGCTGTCCACACGAATGCACACACGCACACACACAATCACCAAGACACATTGGTTCTGCTCCGCGGCCTGCTGGTCCCAACACAGCGGAGGCAACAATAGCGGGATGCGCCAGGCGGATTACCACCGAACGCGCGCCGATGGGATGCCAACGAGCGAGTGGTCGACGCAGGCCGCAAGAGGAGGGGCGCGCACGACCAGAAACAGGCACGTGCAGTCGCCGCAGGCGCACTCCCACACATTGAGCAGGGACCGACCATCCCGGCATTCCTATAGACATACCACGACGTGTTCCTAGAACCCGAACATGTTCTAAGAACAAAAACAATGTTCTTAGAACATAAACCCGATGTGCTAAAACAAGACAGTCTCAACTAGAAATGTTCTAAGAACATTTCGTGGAAACCACAAAAGAAAAGGTTCTTAGACCATTGCTTGGTAGGGCTATGGGCGAGCCGGGACGCTTCGCCACTGCTCGAACACAGACGCACACGCCGTACGCACACAGACAGTCCTCACCCCCCTCCTGGGCGCCCCCGAGCCTGGGCCACACTTCCGGTGGCGGGAAGGGGCGCCCGCGGCAGGAGGGCGTCACGGCGGGCGCGCCAGCGCCGGGGCCAGGCTCAGGGCTGCCCACCACGCGGCCAGCCGCCGCAGCGCCGGCCAGGCGCCAGACTGGGAGGTCACCGTGTCCTCCTCCGCCCAAGGGGCGGGCACCTCACCGCCGAAGCCAAAGTTTTTTTATATATATATATATATACAAATACTAGAGATATACATGTTTGTTGTACATAAAAATATGTGTATATATATATATATATGTATATATATATATGTGTGTGGATCTCTCTCTCTCTCTCGCTCCACCGCCTGTGGGACCGATGTCTCAGGGCGGCAGGGGGCGGTGAACGGGAAGGCGCGCGACAGCTTCACGGATGGAGGGCAGCTCCTGCTTCAAACAGTGGATCACGTTTACACCCGCCTGAGACTTCACAGTATGGCCACCTGTGAATGCCCGGGCGGCAGCACTGGCCACGCCGACGGTGGCCCACAGCCCTCAGGCCCACGTCTGCGCAGCGTCTGCCGCCAACAACGGGCGCTCCTCCTCGGGGGCGGGCGCCGGCAGGCCAGCGTGGACCTTGCAAGCACGCGCATCCTGACGCTTCGGATGGTCACGAGGACTGCGGAGGGCGGCTGCTTTGCAAGATAGGGCTGCCGCCCGCACAGCGGGGGGGCTCTCGTGCCTCCGTCTTTCAGGGGGGCGCGCTCTCGCGTCTCCGTCTTTCAGAGGGGCGCTCCCCCCAGGGAGAGGAATCTATTTACGAGGGTGGGCTGGGGGCGAGAGGGTGTGCTGCAACATCGTTGATGCATCCTTGGGTGACTTTCTGTGGCAACTCGCGGAAGCCTCCCATGCCATCTTGCTGGCTCTTGCGTGTCGACGCCAATTGACGCTAATCGTCGCTGATCGACGCTTATCGACGCTGATCGTCGCTAACCGACGCTGATCGACGCTGATCAACGCTAAATCGATGCAACATCGGCGCTTTCGCATCGATTGCCAAACGCAAGCGTATACGCTAATGCACTCGATAGACGAAACTCCGAATACATACAAGGCTCCCATGGGTTGCTATCGAACCATTCAGTGGGGGGGCGTTCGTGAAGGAATGTGCCCAGGAGGCTTTGGACCCTGGAGGGTTCCTTATCTGATGAGGGCGACGATGATATCCATGGCCGGTCCACGATTCGATTTCCGCCAGCTTCGAGACCCTGGATTCCTGATCTGAGGGCTCCTTATCCAATGCCCCCACCGTTACTTCTTCTTCTTCTTCTTCTTATGTTTCTGCTTCTTCTTCCTTCACCTCCTCTCCCCCAGAGCCTCTCCCTGACCCAGGGGCGTGTTGGCCTCACGCTGTGCGGACCTCTCGGCGTGTCTCCCCGGACATCCGACCTCTCGACTTTTTCGAGACACGGGCCCCCAAACTCCCGACCACTTACTCCAGATTTCGTAATAAAAGGGAGGGGGTCTGGACCCTCCAAGACTAGCCATTTCAGACCCCCCCCCGTGGGAGAACCCTCCAAAACATCGTCCCCAGACCCCCCCCAGGCCTTCCAAGATAGCCTGGAAGAGACCCCCCCCGAAATGAGACCCCCCTCCCTTTAATTACGAAATCTGGAGTACTTCCCCGGGACCGGATTTTCATCCCGCGTCGTGTTGTTGACGGTCTCGAGGCCCGGCGAGGGCCCCGAGAGTCCGAGGACGAGGAAAAACCGCCGTCTCGATCTGTCCCAACCAATCCTGTGGTGTCGGGTCCTCGTTTTGAAGAGACGGTCCCCGCGTCCCTCCTCTCCCTCCTCCCCCTCCCCCTCCTCCCCCCTCCATGCGTTTCATTTTGCGGCCCCATTGATTGGGAGCTCCACCAAGCCCCAGTAGCACCGCCCGCATGCGCCCCCCCCCCACCTGGTACAGCGTTTCGTGACCCCGTAGGGAGCTCCAGTGGCGACCGAAGGCCCAAGTGGCAACGCCCGCATGCGTCCCCCCATCGCGTGGCCCCATAAGGAGCGACACCGAAGGTCCCAGTGGCACCGCCCGCATGCGTCGGCCACCACCCTGTGCAGCGTTTCGTGGCCCCGTAGGGAGCTCCACAGAAAGACCCCAGCGGCACCGCCCGCATGCGTTTTCCCCAACCAATACAACGTTTCGTGGCCTCATCGGGAGCTCCAGCGAGGGGCACAGCCCGCATGCGTCAGCCACACCCAGGACAGCGTTTCGTGGCCCATGGGCCCATGGGGAGCCCCACCGAAGGCCCCAGTGGCACCGCCCGCATGCGCCTCCCCCACCCATTACGGCACGTCCCACACGCGCTTCGTGGCCCCATAGGGAGTTCCACCGAAAGCGGCACCCACAACGCTATACTCGCAACTGCATGTGGCTGGGTCCTTCGCCAGGACAATTTCGAGACGCCCGATGTCTGGGTCGCCCCCCCCCGGCCAGCCGGGCCCTTCGGCTTCTGGCCCGCCGGCCGCGCCTCCGGACCAGGCACGGGGCCCTCCAAGATCGCGCACGCGATGCGCGCGCCACCGGACAGCTCGTGGACCGAGGGGGGGCGGGAAAGGAGGAGGAGGAGGAGGAGGAGGAGGAGGAGGAGGAGGAGGAGGAGGAGGAGAGGAGGGAGGCGTCCTCGCCTTCGTCTTCCCTCCTCCTGCTGCTCCAGGAACCATCCTGTGGTGTTGGGTTCTCGCTGTGAGTCAGCGGCGCCCAGCGCCCGCTCCTCCTCCATCCTCCTCCCCCTTCTGCCTCCTCGTCGTCACCATCATCATCCTCACCATCACCACGACCATCAGCATCATCATCATCATCAGCAGCAGCAGCATTTCATCATCACCATCAGCATCATCATCGTCATCACCGTCATCGGCATTATCATCATCAGCAGCATCACCACCATTGTCATCATCGTCGTCAGAATCATCAGCATCACCATCACCATCATCATCGTCATCATCATCACCATCAACATCAATCTCACCATGATGATGATGATGATCATCATCATCATTGTCAGCGGCATCGTCAGCAGCGTTAGCACCATCATCATCAGCAACATCATCATAATCCGCATCAGCATCACCGTCATCATCATCACCGTCCTGCTCCTGATCATCATCATCGTCATCACCATCACCACCACCACCATCATCATCACCATCATAATCATCAGATCAGCAGCAGCAGCAGCAGCGGTAACAGCACCACCATCATCACCATCACCGTCGCGATCACCATACCATATCATAGTATGTCAGTATGGCCCTGTTTGTCATCACTATCATCATCAACGTCATCAGCATCAGCATCGGCAGTCACCATCATCAATGACATTCCGGCACACCTCTTGCAAGTTGCGTGGCCCCGTAGGGGGCTGCACCAGAGGCTCCAGTGGGAGGGTTCGCATGGCGCCGCCGCACACATTTCGGCACACCCCTCAAACGTTTCGTGGCCCCACATGGGGCTCCACCTGGTGCCCCCCAGTGGGAGGGTTCGCATGGCGCCGCCACACCCATTTCGGCCCACTCCTCACACGTTTCGTGGCCCCATAGGGAGGTCCACCGAAGGCCCCAATGGGAGGGTTCGCATGGCGCCGCCGCACCCACTTCGCCCCACCCCTCACACGTTGTTTTGTAGCCTCACAGCGAGCTCCACCGAGCGTTCCAGTGGGAGGGTTCGCACGGCGCCGCCGCGCCCATTTCGGCCCACCCCCCAGACGTTTAGTGGCCCCATAGGGAGCTCCACTGAAGGCCTCAGTGGGAGGGTTCGCATGGCGCCGCCGCGCCCGTGTCAGCACACCGCTCACACGTTCAGTGGCCCTATGGGGAGCTCCATCGACGGCCCCACTGGGGGAGTTCTCATGGTGCCGTTGCACCCAGGTCAGCACACCCCGTACACTCTTCGTGGACCCAGAGGGGACTCCGCCGCCGTGGCCCTGGCCCTGTAAGAATCACTACCGAAGGCCCCATTGGGAGGGTTCGCATGGCGCCGCCGCGCCCGGGGACCTGGAACCGCAACAATGACGGCCGCGACGCCCTCTCGCGAACCGAAAACAGCCAATTCGCTAACCGAGGAGGAGGAGGAGGAGGAGGAAGAGGAGGAGGAGGAGGAGGAAGAGTTGTAGGAGGAGTAGGATGAGGAGGAGGGGGAGGAGGAGGAGGAGGAGATGGAGGAGGAGGAGGAGGAGGAGATGGAGGAGGAGTTGGAGGAGGAGGAGGAGGAGGAGGAGGGGGAGATGGAGGAGGAGGAGGAGGAGGAGGAGGAGGAGGAGGGGGAGGAGGAGGAGTTGGAGGAGGAGGAGGGGGAGGAGGAGGAGGAGGACGGGTCGCCTAAGCCCTTCGGAGGAACCCTCCCGGTGGAGGACGAGGAGAGGCCGACCACGAGGCTCCGGCCCACGAGCTCGGGCAGCGATAGGCCAGTGCCCACCGAGGCCACGCCGCTGGAGGCCCCAGAGCCGTTCGCGACGTCCGTCGCGACGTAGGCGACCTCGCAGGTCGCCGAGGAGTAGGGTTCAGTCGGGCCTGTCCCCCTACAGCGGGATTTTGAAGGAGAAATCAAATGTAGTAAAACATACCCACACATGTTCGAAAAATACAAAAAATGTCCCCAGGCTATTCTTTCACTATGTTGGATTTTTCCCCCTGTAGAGGGACAGGCCCGACTTAAGAGTAGGGGAAGGAAGGTCAGGCATGTCCCCCTACAGGCGGATTTTGGACGAAAAGTGAAACATGCCCCCCAAAGATTCGCAGATTGTCAAACATGGTCGACACATCGTCCCAAGACTATTTGTTTGAATTTTCCTCCTGTAGAGAGACAGGCCCGACTTATGAGTAGGGGAAGGGGGGGGGGGGATAGGAGAAGGAGGAGGAGGAGGATACTCCGGATTCCACAATAAAGTGGTGGGGGTCACATTTGGGGGGGGTCTGATTTGAGCTGTCTTGAGGGTTCGGGGGGGGTCTGGGCAAAGGGCCGCTCTTTCGTGGATGGTCTGGGGGGGTCTAAAACTTGTGGTCTGGGAGGATTGTGACCCCCTCCCTTTTATTACGAAATCTGGAGTAAGCAGACGGTCCGACGGCGGCCGAGGGCTGAGCGAACCGCATGCCCGCGATGATAAAGCTTCCCCCCCCGCAGGCCCGCGATAATAAAACACCCCCCAACCCCCCGAATCATGATTACCCACGGGATACTTAAATTTGACAGGCGGGCGGAGCGGCGAGGCCACACTTCCTTTACCACAAATCATTTGGTTCTACACACAGAGCCTATAGGGTTTGATAGGTCCGAAACTGTGAGTTTCCAGGAAATCTGCCTCCTCCTCTTCGCTTCTCATCCTTATTATCCTTCTCTTTCTCTCCTTCTCTTCCTTCTGTTATTTTGTTATCCTCGTACTCCTATTCTCTCCCTTCTCTATCGCCTCATTCTCTCCCTTCCCTTTTTCCTCCCTCCGCGCCCCAGCTGAACTTGCTTGTCGCCGTCATTGATTATCACCCCCCAAAGAGCAGTCTTGAGTGCTCCTACACGACGAGTGGTAAACCATCGGCAATCTTTTCGTTTTGCAAATAGAACTTGATAGGACCGTAACTCTGACTTCTCTGAAAATCATTTCTTCATGCTCCTCCTCCCTCTCCTCGTCGTCCTCCTCCTTCTCCTCGTCCTCCTCCTTGCTCGTCCCACCCTATCCAGGGAATAGGACGGGAAGAATCTATTGACACAGCGTGCTATTGATACGTTCCGGAGATTCCGGGATTTCTAACAGCCTTCGCGCGGGGTGCACCTTGCGTCGAGTATTGTCTACTCTGGCTGGCGCCGCTGGTCAGTCACCCATTCGCAATCGAGCGGTCGCCCGTAAGGGGCAATGGCAGTTGCTGACCCCCCTTTCTCGTTGCCGAGCGCGGGGGGGACGGTGGCGCACCGTCGCATCGCCCGCCGCCGCGCGCCGCGCGCCTCGGCGGATTTCCAAAGACCTGGCAAGGCAAAACATGGTTGACTCTGGAAATGTCTCCGGGGGTAAAATTGAACAAATCTGGGAACATGTTTGAACATGTCCGGCCTACTTTTTGCAACATACCAAGATCATGTTTGAAAATTTCCGGGATCGATTTTGAAAAATTCCGGAATCCATTTTGAAAAATTCCGGTTTTTAGAATTCTTCAGATGTCCTGCGC